TTGTACCAGGCGTCGATGTGGTGGTGTTCGACGAGGGGGGAGACGATCTCCAACATCGGCGGAGAAGGGCCTCCTGCAACGGGTTTCGGCGGCGGCGTTTGAAGGGTGACTCCGGCGGCGGCGGTCTACAGATGTGAAGAAGAAGAAAAAAAAAAAAAAAAAAAAAAAAAAGCTGTAACAGAGAGAAATAGCGAGAGAATGAAAGAGAGAGAGGCGAGAACCGAGAGAATGAAATTGAGGGAGAAATAAAATTGTATTATATTAAAACCCTAACACATAAGGGCACTTTAGTCTTATCATGGCTGGTAAGGGGGGTCTCACTAATTTAGATTGGAATGTGGGTTATGGGAAAAGTCTTTAAAGTCAATTGGGTTTAGTTCAAAATATTTTCTAAATAAGGGGTGTATTGCATATTTCCCCATAATAAAAAATAAATTACAAAATCTGAAAGAAAAATATAATGAGGCGTGAATAATACAACAACCAGGAGAACAGAGAGAAATAGAAATAAGAAATTGTTCTTCAATCATCGGTCAATCCATTCAATTTCTCCAAATTGTTGCCGTTCTGAACATCCGTTTTTTATTTTCCTTACTTCAATTACAAAGCTACGATCTTTGGAGCCAAAGCAGATTTCCAGTTCTATGTTCAGTCCGCCGCCGGCGCCGCCGTCGTCATCGTCTTCGCCACCGTTGTCGTCGTGGGTCATGACCATAATATCAATCCGCCGCCGACCATCACCATGACCTCTTTTTCGATTGTGTACCTCTTTTAGTTTCAATTTTCAGAATCGAAAAAACCTTCAACCACATGAATGACGATAAGGAGACAGAACCATGACCAAGGAGAACCTTAAGTTGCATAGATGTCCTCGAAGAAGACAAAAAAGCGCGAATAATGGATTTTGAGACGCATTTGTTGTTCCGATGATTTTCTTTTGTCGTCTCAGACGGATTTTTTTTTAAGGGATTGGAATAGTTGGGGCGAATTTGAAGGTGAAGGAAAAGAAGAAGAAAATTAGGGATTTAAGAAGTTATGAAAATTGTAGTTTAGTCCTCTCAATTTGGGCTATTTATAATTAAATTATGGAAGGGCATTTTAGATATTTAACGTTTTTTGTTAGTTTATTACACGGCCGCTACAATCTGACAACCACAGGGGGGTTAAGTGCCTAAATCGATATCAGAGGGGGGTGAAGTGCCAAACTGTGAAACCACAGGGGGGTTAAATGCAATTTACCCTTCTTTTTTTGACATATTTATTTATGTTAAATGTTTTATATTCTTGTTTACTTGATTCAATTTATAATTTTTTTAATTTATTCAAGAATTAAGACCAATAAATATTGTGCTATATTTGATTTATCAGAGTTCATAACTCTTATAGTAGTTCGTTTTACATTGTTGCCCCCTTTATTACATTTTTGGATGGAAATTGGTAACATTATCAATACTAGTAACCGTGCCCGTGCGTTGCACGGGGTCACATTGAACAAAGGAAAAACAAAGTAATTGTTTAAAAGAATGATGATACAAATTGTAATAAAAAATCGATCAAATAATATTAAAATATATCTGTGAAATTCAAATTATAGTACTATTATCTTATTTTATTGTAGCATATATTTTTCATCCTACAACGAATATAAATATATATATATACACACACACACCTAGTGTCAATATATAAAATATATGTTAAATAATAAATAATACAAATTTAACAAAGGGACGGATATTTCAAATTCTAATTGTTTCTCACTTCAATATCGCCTAAATAATAAATAGGTAATGACATTTATACCTTTAATGAAAATTAATATCTTACAAACATAAAAAATCTCATTTTTCTTTCTTTTAATACCACACACACAAACTCGTCACACCCTTCTGTTTCTTCTTCACAACCATCTCTCCCACTCATGTTTCTTCTTCTTCCTCCTGCTTTTGTTTCTTCTTCCTCATGTTTCTTCTTATTCTTCTTCTTCCTCCTCCTGCTTCTCATTCTTTTTCTCATTTTTCTTTTTCTTTTCCTTCTCCTTCTCCCGCTCCTCCTCCCCCTCCTGTTCCTGCTTCTTCTTCTTTTGCTGCTCCTCCTCATTCTCCTCCTCCTCCTCCTGCTTCTTCTACTCCTTCTGTTGTTTCCTCCTCCTCATGCTTCTTCTCCTTCTGCTGCTGCTCCTCCTCCTCCTCCTCCGCCTGCCCCCCCTGCTCCTCCTCCTCCTTCTTCTTCTTCTTCTTCTTCTTCTTCTTCTTCTTCTTCTTCTTCTTCTTCTTCTTCTTCTTCTTCTTCTTCTTGCCTCTTCTTTTTTTTCTTCCTTTTTCTTCCCGCTTCTTCTTCATGCTTCTTCCTTCTTCTTCTTCCTCATATTCTTCCTCATCTTCTTCTTCTCCATCTTCCGCTTCTTCCTCTTCATCCTCTTTCTCTTCCTCCTCTTTCTCCTCCTCCTCTTCGTCATCCACATTTTCTTTCTCCTTCTCTTCGTCATCCTCATTTTCTTTCTCCTCCTCTTCTTCCTCCCCCTCTTCGTCTTCCTCCTCTTCTTCCTCCCCCTCTTCGTCTTCCTCCTCTTCTTCCTCCCCCTCTTCGTCTTCCTCCTCGTCCTCTTATGCGTATTTCTGCCTCTTCTTCTTTATTTCATCTTAACTGAAGTAGTCTTTATTTCATCTTAACTTCATTACCGTATACTCTTCTGATGTTTAAAAAAAAAAAAAGATGTTACATAACCAACTATCACAAAGTTACCAATCGAATGAAGGAATAAACTATTCGTAGATTGTTCCAAATATTGTGGTCCACTAATACCTCCTGATACATATGAATAAATTAAATTTTAAACTGAACATCTACTTCTCTGTATTAAGACTCTAAACTCATCTGATTGTTCAACAATCAATCAACATTAGAACCATTAGGATCAGTTTCACAAAATTAAAACATAAAATGAATTTTATGTTTCCACCATAGTATGTTTATGGACTTCGATAATTGAAATATTGAATTATGAAAGTTGCCATGTTTTTACTAAGGTAATTAATCAATGAAACATATCAAGAAAAGATAAATATAATACTGAAAATTTAAATTTCAAGCCCAGTGATTCACCTTACAATCCATCGTCTGCTTGAGGCTTATCAGCATTCGTCATATGC